GCCTGGAACACCGGAAAATCTCATAGGTATATGAACGCATGATCATGAAATTATATTTTATTTCTTTGCAAAGGATGGCGAGGGTGTACGTCCGCGGACGCGCATTTGCAATGTAAGCCGCAATGGATTATGCACGCATGATCAGGACATCGTATTTTTGTGCAAGGGATGGAAAGGGTTTACGTCCGCGGACGCGCATTTGTAATCTAATCCGCAATGGATTCTGCACGCATGATCCGGAAATACTATGTTTTGCAAGGGCTGGTGCCGGTTTACATGCTGGGCCGCATGTAAGCGCATGTGCCCGTATGTATTCAGTTTTACGGCGTAGAGGGTTTCATAATTATAGGATTAAGAATTTAGGGTTTCGGGTCTGCATTCACGCAAGCGCGCTGGCTGCGCCCCCCCCCGCACCAAGGTTGTCGGGGGGGATCGCTGCCCAAGCCGCGCGCGCCACGGTTAGTCGCACTCCCGCCCCAGACCACCCAGAGTGAAGCCTTTTAGGGTTTAGGGCTTCTCGTCCCAATCCCCCTATCACGGGGGGCTTTCGAAGTGGCGCGCGCAGGCGATCGCCGACGCGGCCGTGGCATTGCGCATCCACGTGAGCACGCGCGCAGGGCGCGTGGCGTAGGCGCGTCGGCTTGTTGCCCCGTCGAAGAGGCAGCCGTTGGCGATGTCGACGTTGAGCTTCGCCGTTGGGCCGCCGCTGGCGCGGCGTGTCCACGTGTTGTCGCTTTTGCTTTCGGCACTGGGTTGTGACACTGGGCTGCGAATGCTGGGAAGCGCGCGCGGCCGCGGCCGTGGCAATGCGCGCCCGTGCGAACACGCGCGCAGGGTGCATGGCGCTGGCGCGTCGGGTCGCGTCCGGCATTTGCCTTCGGCATTGGGAAGCAGCACTGCGAGGGCGCTGGCGCGGCAATCCCATGGGCCACCGTGGGCCTCGAGCGAGTGGCTGCGCCGTCGGGCCCCTCGCCGACGGCGACGCGCACGGCAGTTCCATTCGCCCGCGGCTTTGAGTTTCGCCTTTGGGGTCGCCCCCGCTGAAGCGATTGCAATCATCGACGCAGACGTTTTCGGCGCGAGCTTCGGAAGGCTGGATGGGGGAGCGCGAGGGGGTGGGTCTGGCACCCCCTCGCTACGATGCGCGCGCATGGCTGCGGCAGCACCTCCATGGCAGAGCCCTTGGAATGCCTTGGGGGAGCTCTCTGGGCGCGCTGAGGGAGCGCCTGGAGCTCTCCCCAAGAACGCGTCGAGGGCGCTCTGAGCGCCTGGGGAGCGCGTTACAGCGCCTGGGAGCGCCTGGGAGCGTCTGGAAGCACGTGGGAGGGTCTGGGAGCGTGGCAGGACACGCAGCGTGCACCGCGAATGCGAGCCGTGGATTGGCCGTTGGGATTGGCCGTTGGCGTCGCCCCCGCTGAAGCGATTGCATTGTCGACGCAGCCGCCTTCGGCGCGAATGTTGCATGGCTGGAGGGGGTGCGCGAGGGGGATGGGTCTGGCACCCCCTCGCTACGATGCGCGCGCATGTCTGCGGCAGCACCTGCATGGCGGGGGGGCGCCGGGGAGCGCCGCCAGGGAGCGCTGCGGAGTGCTTGCGGATTCGTGGGGACGCTTGGGAGCGCCATGGGACCGCCTGGAACTGCCTGGGCACGCTTGGGAGCACCTAGGAGCGCGCGGGAGCGCCTGGGAGCACATTGTGGGCGCTGGGGAGCGCGTGGGAATGCTTGGGCGCCTGGGAGCGCCTTGGAGCGCTTGGGAGCGCCTGGGGGCGCTTGGGGAAGCCTGGGAACGCCTGGGAGCGCCTGGGAGCGCCTGGGAGCGCCTGGGAGCGCCTGGGAGCGCCTGGGAGCGCCTGGGAGCGTGCGGGGAACGCCTGGGGGCGCCTGAGACCGCCTGGGAGCGCCTGGGAGCGTGCCGTGGAGCGCCTGGGAGCGCCTGGGAGCGTGCCGGGACGCCTGGGAGCGCCTGGGAGCTCCTGGGAGCGCCGGGAAACGCTTGGGAGCGCTTGGGGGCGCCTGATGCTCCTGGGAGCGCCTGGGAGCTCCGCGTCTGGGAGCGCCTGGGGGCGCCTGGGAGCGTGCCGGGAAATGGAAGCGTCTGGGAGCTGTCCTCCTCCTCCTTCTCCTCCTCCTCCTCCTTTTCCTCCTCCTCCTCCTCCTCCTCCTCCTCCTCCACCTCACCCTGCCGCTAAATACCTCTCGGCCGAACCAGACCGGCCGAACCGGACCTGCTGCGCAACTCGAACCGGAACGGCTGGACTGGACCGGACGACTTTCGAACCACACCAGCTGAACCGGCCCGAGCGCACACCAGACCGGACCGAATCGGGGCCGTCATGATTTATAACACAGCCATCACTCCAGTCTTGCGTGAAGCTTTCAAAACGGATGTGCGCGCCATGCTTCCAGCTGCTGGAAGTTTCAAGCTTAATGACTGTACATTGTGAGGACGTCTCAAGGGAAACGCCTGGCCCGACCTACCGACACATCTAGGGGTGTGACAAGGAGGCGGTCTCTATCAGGAAACAGGATGGAGAAGGAGGAGGAGGACGAGGAGGAGGAGGAGGAGGAAAAGGAGGAGGAGGAGGAGGAGGAGCAGGAGGAGGAGGAGGAGGGAGGAGGAGGAGAGGCAGGAGGAGGAGGAGGAGGAGGAAGAGGATGATGGGGGGGAGGGGGAGGAGGAGGAGGAGGAGGAGGAGAGGAGGAGGAGGAGGAGGAGGAGGAGGAGGATGAGGAGGAGGAGGAAACATGGCTCCTCGATCCTGAAGCCCAGATCCCCCAGCGACGACGGCGACGAGGTTGACCAAGGGGGGCCGGGTCCTGCACGCAGCAGTCGCCCATCAGAGCGGAGATGCTTGCGGCCGTCGCCTCGGCGCCCCTGCGGCCGAACATCCGGTTGAGGCGCCCGTGGAGGGCGAAGCGGAAGCGCGACAGGGCGGTGCAGACCTGCTGCAGGGCTGCACGCCACTGAGGGGGAGGAGGGAGAGAGGAGGAGGAGGAGGAGGAGGAGGAGGAGGAGGAGGAGGAGGAGAGGAGGAGACGAGGAGGAGGAGGAGGAGGAGGAGGAGGAGGAGGAGGAGGAGGAGGAGGAGGAGGAGGGAGGAGGAGGAGGGGGAGGAGGAGGAGGAGGGGGAGGAGGAGGAGGAGGAGGAGGAGGAGGAGGAGGAGGAGGAGGGAGGAGGAGGGTCCGCAAGAGCCGACAAGATGGGGGGTATGGGAGTTGCCACGGTCGAGCACAGGGCTGCCCACGCTCTGCAGGCGGCCCCCCAGGCGGAGCCGCCCCGTGGCCATGTCGGGACGGTGTCTGTCCGAACACGCCAGGGGGTTCCGTCGGCGGGGACCCTCTCATCACCGCGGGTGGCTGGGACTAAGACAACCCGCGGGCTGACCTGTCGAAGGAGGGCGACAACGACGACGACGAGGGCGTCGACGACCCCAATGGGTTCGGCAGGCAGGCCCTGACGGGCGGGTCGGGCGGGCAGACCCTGACGGGCGGGTCGGACGGACCCTGACGGGGGGCGTGGAGGGCGACGCGGAAGCGGGACATGGATTGACCTGCCGACGGCGACGGCACGGCCGACGACTGGCCGAGCCCCCCCAAATCTCCGACGATGTGCTCTTTTCAGTCCAGGCGCTTCTCCTTGAGTCTGGCCCCGGGGCCCATGATCGGGCCCCAGGACCATCAAGAACAGTTCCGGGGTGAAAAACTGCCCCCAGGGAGTTGGTTGGGACCCCTGGGGCCGCACCGAACCTGCAATCGACCCGCCCCTCTTACCTCCTTCCGAAGCGGTACAGGGAGGCGCAGACCCAGAAGGGAACAAGCAGCTGCGTAGACATACACCTGCATGGACATCAGAGTGATGGGGCCGAGCGGTCTTACACCGTCCCTTGGTGCCTTGCTCAAGTGGGGGTCCACGTTGAGGATGTTTGTTGTCACATTTCGGGGATCAATCCAAACCAGGGCCAGTCGGGCTTTGCAGGATCCTGCAAGATCCTGCAAGATCCTGCAAGATCCTGCACCCAAGTCGGGGTCAGTGCACCCCTGGCTCTGCAGGATCCTGCAAGATCCGGCGCCCTGACTGAATCCCCGTCTGCGTTGACCCCCGTCTCTTCAGCTCCGAACCTTGTTGTCGTCGTCCTGCCAGCCATCCACCCCGCCCGCGAGCCACCCCCCGAGCCGCCCCGCGACCACCCCGCGACCCACCCGCCTTGCTTTGACGACGAAGTCGGCGCCTGCGGCGGGCCTCTTCAGATTTGACCTCCAGCCTTGCAGACTGCCGACGAACCCCCTCTCCGCCCCATCATCATCATCAGCATGTGCGGGGGCTACGTGCAGGCTCTCGCAGGTCCAGGCCGCGGACGCCAGAAAAGGGTGCTGCAATGGGGGTCCAGCGCCAGCCCCAGAAGTGCGCGGGGGCCTCCGGAGGCTGATGCTCATGCACTTCTCCTTTCCCCCCTTTGGTTGGGTGCTCGCTCGCTTGGAATAAAACGCCACTTGCTGCTCCTTCCTCATCCTCTCCTCCCGCCTCACCTCCGCTTCCTCTTCGCTCGTTCCTCGCATCCCCTCGCTCGCCGCTGTCGCCGCTTTCGTGCTCTCAGTGCTGCCAACCGCGCAACTGCCGCGGCTCTCGTGAGCTCTTCGGAGATCCAGCGAAGTGCGGTCTCACAGGGATCAGCAAAAACCTTGTCCTCCCTGGGAGCTGCCAACTGCGCAACTGCCGCCACATTCGTGAGCTCCTGGAGGGTCCAGCGAGGGGGACCCAAGCGACAAGCGAGACCTCGCGCTCCCTGGGTGCTGCCACCTGTGCAACTGTCCATCCTTTCGTGAGCTCCTGAGAGGGCCAGCGCAGGGCGGCCTTATCCAGCGAGATCTCGCCCTCCCTGGATGCTGCCAACTGCGAAACTGCGGCCATACTCGTGAGCTCCTGAAGGGTCTGGCAGAATACGAACTTACCCAGATCCAAATGATACCTCGCCCTTCCTTGGTGCTGCCATCTGTGCTACTGTCGCCACTTTCGTGAGCTCCTGGGAGGTCCGGCGGAGCGTGGCCTGACTGCGTCTGTCGCCACTTTCGCGAGCTCCTGGGGAGCTACGGCGGAGTGCGGACACGCGGACGCACCTCATAGTCTTGTCATGCGTCCTGGGCGAATCTGGTGCGTCCCTGTGGAACTATTTTTTCCAGAGGTGCAGACCACGCCGAACAGGTCGCCGACCAGGTACGCAGAGAAAGGCCTCGAGGCCCCAGCCCGTCCTGTGGCAGAGCGCAGAAGGAGGTGCCCTCTAAGAAGGCAGGGTGCTTCTTGTGAGGATTCGGACGACTTCTAAGAAGGCGGGGGGGATGTTAACAATCCCTCTACTGTACGGTGAGAGCATTGAATAAGGAACCCCTGGACAAGGAATTCAAGGACTGGAAACTGGGTTAACTCCAACCGTGGACTGGCCATGGATATCACCGCCGCCCTCATCCGATAAGGAATGATCCAGGGTCTGAAGGCTCATGGGCACATTCCTCAACCAACAGTATACCTGTTTCGAAGTCAGTGCACCCTAAGCCAGGACATTGCTTACAGGACTTTGAACGTTCCACCTGGAGAGAACGAGTACAGTAGGGGCCCGACCACAAGAAACCTTCAACAAGAAACCCAACCCTGAGACCCCAGGACGTCCATCGATTTTTGGTTTGGGGACGTCACGCTTTCCATAGCAAAACCATCGAAATCCAAGAAACCCAGGGCACCCTGGAGGCAAGCACGGTGTCTCTTGACATGGGCCCCCACTGTAACGGAGAATGCGTCGACCCACGGCGGAAATGTTCCTTGGCGCGCGAATCCCTTGGCTTATCCAAGTCCTCGTCTTGGGCCCCTGCAGAAAGCCGCTTCCTATCGCGCAACCCGCTTCTGTGCGCCGCTGGGTCCTAACGGCGTCTGCTCGAATTCCAGCCAGGGGTCGATCATCTGGAAGATGTCGATGGCCGTCTGGGCGACGAAGAAGACGAACAGCATGCGCCACAATAGCTGCTGCAGGTCGTCCACCCCGACGCACGCAGCCACTATGGAGCTCAGCACGAACACGCCATCCACCGTCAGGTACGCCTCGGTGAAGCTGTTGTGGATATCCCCCCACCACAGGTGCCAGGCGAAGTCGACTCCGAGCAGACACGTTGACGCCACAACGACCCACGTCGTCAGACCCGCCACCGTGCCGCGAGGCACGGAACCGAATGCGATCGTTTACTTATTCATTGATTTGCCGATCGGCGCGGGCCCTCGCACCCACCCTACCCCCCCCGTGGAGTAGATCTTGGCTGTTTCTGGCACCTCTTTCGAGCAGGTGGAGTCTCCCCCACAGGACGCGCTGATGCAAACAGTCGCATTAAGCAGAGGTCCGGAGCCAGACCCCCGCTCCCCCCCTCGCCCGTCTCATGTCGACACGCCGAATAAGAAAACGTTCACATGGACGCACTGTTGCAAGCGGTCGCATCAAGCAGAGGTCCGGAGCCAGACCCCCCCCCCTCCGCCCAATGTCGAAACGCCGAACAAGAAAACGTTTACAATGACCTCATGTTCCGCGGACCGAGGCTTGTCATTGCTCTTCAGCGGGGCCCAGAGACCCCCCATGCCCGGAGTTCCTGGGCGCTCCCATTTTTTATCTTGGGCCGTGACCTGTCTCGAGGTCTTGCGGGTGTGGTTGAGGGGGGTCACGTGTCCTGCGATGGCCCCGATGGGGCCGTCCTGGGGCTCTCGTGGGGGTTTCTTTGGGCCGTCTTGCGATGTCTTGGATGTGCAGGGGTCCGGCCCCAGAGACCACAATCATGGAACAGACACAGACACAGACACAGACACAGACACAAGGCACACAGACACACAGACACACACACACTCACACACACACACGCACAAAAGCACGCACGGACGCACGCACACACGCACACACATACACACGCACACGCACACACACACACACACACGCACGCACACACGCACACGCACACGCACATGCACACGCACACGCACGCCCCCCCCCACACACACACACACACACACACACACACACACACAACACCACGCCACGCCACGCCACGCCACGCCACGCCACGCCACGCCACGCCACGCCACGCCACGCCACGCCACGCCACGCCACGCAACGCAACGCAACGCAACGCAACGCAACGCAACGCAACGCAACACAACACAACACAACACAACACAACACAACACAACACAACACAACACAACACAACACACACACACGCACGCACGCACACGCGCACACGCGCACACGCGCACACGCGCACACGCGCACACGCGCACACGCGCACACGCGCACGCACCCGCACCCGCACCCGCACCCGCACCCGCACCCGCACCCGCACCCGCACACGCACACCCACACGCACACGCACACGCACACGCACACGCACACGCACACGCACACGCGCACGCGCACGCGCACGCGCACGCACATGCACACGCACACGCACACGCGCACGTGCACGCTCACGC